GGCTGTGAAAAACCACGACAGACAGGATTGCCGGTTTCGGGCCGATTTGAACCCGGGACATACCGAATACAAATCAGAAGTTCCCAGATTATTGGGACGCGATGATTAGTTGGTAATAATGTGCAATAGTATGCCTGATCATATCCCTGTATGTTTACTTCTTTTCCACCAGATTGTTAATGAATGTAAATTATGTTTACTTCTTTTCCACCAGATTGTTAATGAATGTAAATGTTTATATTTTGTTTTTGCCATTAAATTAGCCTGCCAGCCACACTGGCAGTAATACTGGTTAAATGTTGCCACTAACTTTGATCGCTCTCCTGTTATATGAGTTTGGTTCAGGTGAAGACCTAGAACACTGTGTATAATCGAATCTATAGAAATTAGGTTATCATACACTACTGATGTTTGATGCTTCCTTGGATGAGCACATTCGCTCCAAAGTGGGAAACCATGACGACGCGTCATAATGACGGTGTGGCAAAACGTCAAATGATACATTCGACAATCTTTGATTACCTGCTGTAGAGCAATGAAATTCACTTCGAATTTTTTATTTTGCGTCTTGTTGTAGTACGCGTCATCAAAAACCTGGAATTCTTTGAACGCTTGGAAAAGGAATATCCTGTACTCTGACATGCTACTCAAGAGAGCTTCAAATACGGACACAAAAGTATTGAAGGAATTTTTAGGCTCTTAAGAAGAAAATATTTCAAAATACAGAAGTAGTTTAGCAATACCGCGCTAAGTTTATGTGCTGTGTTTTAACACAAACACTTCTGAAAAATTGTGTCTTTAAGATTCTTTGATTCGCAAAGTTTAACTTCGATTTTATGTAAGCTCTAGGCTCGAAAGTAGGAAATTTTACGTAATTCGCTCGTCTGTGTTCACTCAGAAACAGTAAACTTCAGAATTCCTATGCAGAAGAGTTTCGCTGCTCTAAGGGTTGTAGAGTCGTATGAAACTTGGGGAGCTAGTTCCATATCGCCACCACGTGATAAATCAGCTAGCAACCTCTCTTTTCTCGCAGAAAATTACTCTGACGTCATTATGTTGGACATTCTCTGAGAAGTTTACAGCCGCTTAGCTGGATTCTCTCTTTTACGACCCGAAGATTAGTCACCATGTTTTAAAGGGTCCGACTTTGGATCCAGTTTCTCAGCTGAGTCCAGTCTGCATCTTCGCGATCTATTTCTTTAAAATCCACTTTAATAATATTATCTCAACTATGACTGTCGCAATCAGCCCCCTTCCTTCAGTTTTTGGCTAAAACTTTAACTGAATTTTTCATTGTTTCATTCATGCTACACGTTGTACCCATCTGAGACTCATTTGTTAAAGAAAGCAACTGATTAAACTCTTTATTTTTAATTATTTTCAGGTCCAAATATTCTTAGCACGGCGTTCTGGATTAGGCTGCAGTTTGATTATAACACTAAGCTTCATATGTCAGCACAAAATACGAAGGTGTTACATGAATAATGCGTGCAGTCGCATCTGGTGACCCAATTGCTAGAGAATAGGGATTATATTAAAAGAAGAGCCACGGTGGTCTAGCGGTTAGAACGCTGGCCTTGTAATCCTGGGGTCTCGGGTTCGATTCCCGGCGGTGCCCGAATTTATAACTTGTGTTGTTGGGCAAGGCCGTGGTCTAGGCAACACGGAGTTTTCCTCCGGGGGCTTCCCCGGTTTCTCCGTGGCATCCCAACAATTACTCCATTCACACACAGAAGAAGGCAATGGCAAACCACTTCTGGATCATCTGCCAAGAACGTATATGAACAGGTCCCAGTCCGAGAAAAGGATGGAAGGATCCTGTTCATATGGACCTGTCATCAGACAGAACACTAAATAAATAAATATAATTAAAAGGAGGTGAAACAGAGAGAAAAGAACGGCACAGAAATATCAACTGAACATAAAGGACATGAATGCATGTAAGATGTCTGTTATACAAACTAATTCCTACAGTGACAGCATTTGTACTAAATGGAGTTGGTGCTCAGTATTTTGAACGTCCTATAACCGACTGATATGAGAGAGAGATTGAATATATATACGCCACGAGATAGTTGAAGGATGACATCGGAAGTCTCAGCTCTCAACAGCAACAAGAATGGATTTTCTAAGTGTCTGTCTGTCTGTCGGATATCGACTTGCAAAGAATTCCTTGAGATAGGAGTTCTGTTGATGTGGTAGGCAGACAGAAACCACAAGACTCGATGTTAGAGGCTTTTAACTTAGCACCGCTTGCTTTCACTTCGTGTGTTAGACTATAAATTACCTTCCCGACGCATCTGAAAGACCGAAACAAGCGTGAACCCGTGTTTGCTGATCCGTGGTTTTGGAAACGATTTCAGTTTGATCTTGATTATGGAATCGTACCTCTGTACGGAACGTGCATTCGGGAATTTCGGCTTCGATACTAGTCTCAGCTGAGATTTCTTCGTAAGTTTATTCAGTTTCTTCCGACAAATTCTGAGGCAGTGTCTTAAATTGCCGCATCAGATTCCTTACCTATCCCTTTCGATTCATTAGTCACAATTCTACAATTCCACTCAGAAGGCCTGTAACCAATGCAATTTCAAAAGTTACGTTAAATAAATAAATATACACTTGATTTCTTGCTTCAAGCGACTGTGATTTTCATATGAGGCATTCCTATCAAATGTATGGCATATTTTAGTTTCCCACTTGTCATGGGTCTACCACGTTTGCCTTTTCCTACAGGAGTCAGTTCTGCATTGTGTTTGGCCGTGCTGTTTCAGACAGTTTTCTGTGTCTATTCCATTTGACTTTTTCTCCCAACAGCTTCTCCCTCTGCTGTGATAAACTGCCCAATATTTATAAGCCTAATTATTAACGTTTGGATATCTTGGCTTCATCTCCAGCGTATACTTCGGGACTTAAGAAGAGGTTAATCCGAAAACCAGACCCTCTGCAATTTCAAAATAAATTCCTTTATTCTGCGTGTAGGATATTTTATTTGCCGAAAATGGTTACCAAAATTATGTCCTTGCTGGGAATATTACGGTTTTTATAAAGTACGAAATAAAAGCTGGTCACTGTTATGTCCTCATTCAGAGACTACGATGTAGTATAAAGTACTTTTATGTTTTTCCCTTTATTTCACACTCGTTTCTCATATTGCGGAGTCCGCGAAACGAGTATTGCATCTTCTGTCGTCAGGAATGTACTGTAAGTAGTCGGATAATTTGATGTGGTATATGATATATAGCTCTGTCTTATCTCATTTCACCAGAAGGTTCAGCGTATGTAAACACACCACAATTTTGACAAGTGCAATAAATAGTACAATCAATAACAATAAATTATCGCCATAGAATTCCACCGTTGTCATGTTAACAGTAATGCTGTGGGTGACAAATAGGAACATTTATTAGGAAACCAACAGGGAGAGTTTATAGAGATCCCAGTAGTGTGAGGTGGACACTAAAGCAAGGAGACATAAAAGCCACAGGATATTGGCCGTTACAATTCAGATAATTAGTAAACACTTCCTGATACCTGCCCCAGACGTCATTCCGACGTAGTAAAT